CTGGAAGAGTAAGTAAAAGACTTATTGATCGATAAATAAGATCAAAAGTGGTTTCTCTTCTAGTCCTTACCAACCATTGACCCAATTCTGCAATAGATGTCAATTGCTTATAATCTACATGTTGAATGACATCAATAGCATAATGTTGAAGCTGCATTTTCAGAATTGTTTTCTCACGATCACTGAAATCTTTAGCATAAAACTTCTCTACTAATTGTCTTACATCAAGACTTCTAAAAGTCTCATACGCATTTTTAGAATCTAGAGTTAAAGCAAGACGAAGCATCTCCATGGAACCATCACTGAAAYGATRATCTAATTCCATTAATTGACAABTAATTGCTTCATAAAAGATATCCACTYGGTAATGATGCTCAAGTGTATGATCACTATGCTCATTACGAGCTCGATTCCCTCTGCTAACGTAGGAAGAAGRCAAGTCAGGAATATCTATGTTACGTACCTGACAAGAAAACAAGTYGAGAAGAAGACAAGTYAGGAAKATTTACTTGATAACGATGTTCGAGTGTATGATCATTATGTTATGTACCTGACAAAATGACTTAACAAGGCAAAGCAAAGCATCCCATCTTTCATCTTTCATTAGTTGCAATAACAATTTGGTAGATGCAACTAACCTCAATGAGTTAAAAATATCTTGATCTTTCTTTTGTAAAGCTTGACAAAGTAAATCAGTGAYYTCCATTATTTTTCTTTCGAGATGCAAGACAAATATGAACTCAAATGTCATCATAGCCTCATATGCCGAATCTGCATCWCCTTTGATTGGCCCAATTCCTTCCTMAAAAWTTTTGARCAAAACCTCACAAGTTGGACTGAACATCTTGATTAGGCTAGAAACCGATCTGAGATGAGAACTCCATCTAGYATCCCCGGCTCGTTGTAATGTATCAATTTGATTGAGACCTCTACCGGTCTCCAATTCATCAACAAAAATCAAGTATGCAATTTGCTCGACTTGTGTATCTCGTAGTTGGTCGGTGCGTTTGGAAGAAGCACTAACAATATTGACAACAAAAGACAACGTTGTAAAAAACTTATGCAGTGCTACAACTCCTTGAGAGGCGGCCATTAATGCCAATTGCAACCGATAAGCAAGACARTGAACATAATATGCRTATTTACAATCTTCTAAAATCAAGGCTTGCAAACCTTTGAACTRACCTYGCATATTGCTTGCACCATCATACCCTTGTCCACGAATAGRCTTGACATCAAGATTGTAATGTGACAACAAAGAATAGATTCCATCCTTKAGCGTTTGTGCCRTAGTGTCACGTACATGAACAARTCCAAAAAAACRCTCTATAATGAAACCCTCTTTATTAACAAATCTCAAAACAAGAGACATTTGCTCTTTATKRGACTCATCCCGTGCTTCRWCAACAAGTAAACAAAACCTTYGACCACCAATCTCCTCACAAATWATTTGTCTCACCTTATTTRATATAAGATTCAAAATTTCCTTTTGAATCGACGGTGATGTATATGATGCATATCTGGGAGCACGACAAAATAACTCTTTAAGCTCGATGCTAAACTCACTAAGTGCCTCCAACATTTCAGGAAAATTCCTTTTGTTGATGGAATCTGACTTTTCGTTGTGGCCTCTAAATGCAACTGCTTGAAAGGCACACCAACGGACACAATAAATAGAAGCGGTCAATCTCAATCTGTTTTTCTCACGATCTTCAGTTGTAAACTTCTCAAATACATTATGTATATCTTGTGCCTCATTAAATAAATGATCTCATCCCTTTTGTGCAACATTGTGGAAAGATGTACAATCGGTTCCCAAATGCATCAAAAAGCCACATTTTTTCCCACTCATCTTTTTCCAATTTCGAAACCCATCTATGGTAAATACTCGTTGATCGTAGTATCCGAGCCCAGATGGCTTGTTAAATAAAAAACAAGGGAAACAAAATGTTGCATCCAAGGTCTTTGAATATTCAATCCAGGGATGTAACTTATATCCAGAAGCTTGAAAGCTACGTTTATGAGTTTCTGGTCCAGATTTTGGAAACATAGAAAAGGTAGGTTGAAGAGGACCAAGATTCATGTAAGCTCGTCGAATTGTATCTTGTTGATTGATAGGATAATCATAAACTTGATGATGCAAAGCAGGGTCTCGTTCTAGTGTACCCAAATCAATATCATTACTTTCAATTTGAGCTTTTTTGCAAGGGTTTTCAATGGGCGGAATACTAGATGCAGGGATATTATCTACATTTGTTGTTTCTTCGGGATCTTGAGAATAAGAACTAGCATGCTTTCTTTTAAAAAACACATGAATAGTAGATTGAGTTTTCATCTTCATCTACATAGCAGTTTTAGTGTTAGATGGTATGATTTCAATTCATATTGGCATACACCTAAATCACCTAAATTTAGAGTTTAGACCTTAATTTCCACATAAATTTAGACCCAATAAATCACCTAATTGGCATACAACATTTGAATGACTATTAACCAAATTTTGTACCAAAAGAACAAACCAGTGTACAAGAAGATTACACTAAATGACCTTAATTTCCACACATATATATATATATATATATATATCATATGATTGCAAATACCAAAAGCATCTCTAACTAAATCACTATATTAGAATTTAGAAACTAGTGAGGCAGTGAGTGATTAGTGATACTGTATTACTGTGACAGTCTCATAGTCACATAACCAAATTCAGCCACAGCCAAGTTGCAAGACAGCAACAAACCAGTAAATCACCACATAAAGTCATAAATTTAGACCTAATAATCACCTAAATCAGTAAATCACCACTTTTGGGTTTTGATTTCAAAACCCAAGCTGCAGCAGTGAGCAGTCAGCAGAACTGCAAAAGGAGTTATGGAGTTACCGTGGTGGCCGACCGCCGAGACAGGCAGATAACCGAGTGTCGCCTGCCGAGTGCTTTTGCTTCCGTCGATCAGATGTTCGCTCTCGCTCGTCGTCTCGTCGTCTACAGACTACAGTCTCGCTCTCGCACTCTCGCTCGTCGTCTCATCGTCTCATCGTTATGGATTGGAGGCGGGCCCGGTTGAATTTTTTTGTATTCTACAAGAGTATGGNTTTTTTGTATTCTACAAGAGTATGGACCAAACTATTAAGCCTAATTAGGAAAAAAAATCACAGGGCCAGGGCCCCTATAGGCCGATTGGGCCGTCCGCCCCTGATTATTACACCCAAATCAAGGAATCGATCTAACCCTAGCTGAACTAATCGATTATCACACCCGAAACCGAACCATATATATATATATATATATATATATATATATATAGATGAGCGATTAAATGCAAATCACTCATATTTGTACAAACCGTGTAAACCACCCTCATTCGTCAATTTCATGTTTAATCTTATGAAATTTTTTTATGAAATTGTTTCATGTAATGTTTTTTTTTTTGATGAATTTGTTCCATATATGGTTATAAGATTTTAATGAAAGTGTTTCATGTATTTCTCTAAATTAATATAATAAAGATGATAATATCCATTATTAACACCCTCCACAAAAAAAATTAATCAACCTCTCATAATCACAAAAAAATAACAAAATGGAAAATTATGATTAGTTGAATGAGGTTTGTACCGGTTTATATAAATAACATGGTTTGCAAAGTAAACCTCATCTCTCTCTCTTTCTCCCTCTCTCTCTATATATCCACACAAAATGCATACAATAGATGAAAGAACAAGGGGACGTCCCTAAAAGGGAGTTGTGAGATTGAAGATGAGGGATGTGGGTTTCAGGAAAAGGGCAATGGTTGCATCTAAGGACTATGAGGCTAGAGGTGGTAGGGAGACGTTGAAGAGGATGCTCCACAGGTGAAGAAGGCTTCCTCGGAGAAGGAGACCGACTACTTGTTGTTTCCGCTTTTGTGTTTACGTTGCATGTTTGTGTATGTGCATATAATATATTTTTTTATCTTTAATAGAAAAAGGAGTAAAAAGTAGAATTAAAAGGACCAAAATGACTCCCGAGTTAATTGGATTAACGGATTTGTGTTAATAACCATTAATAAAAGGGACCTTAGTCATAAGAAAATGACAAACATAGGAAACATATCCATTATTTTTCAAGTTTAGGGATGCATCATAATTTGACATATCACAAGGATCAAATCTATAATACACTCTTGATTTTTATAATAATATATTTGTAAATTTTTTTGGGTGTTAAAATTGTAACATATTAAACATTTAAGTTACATGTTTATCTAATGGCTCGTAAATATTAACTAGGATTCAAGTTTTCCTGACGTTGTGTTTGATATTTTTACATTTTCAAATGTCAACTAAACAAAAATATTGCATCTTATTAAACATTTTGTTGGGGAATTGTAAGATTTGTAATAACATGACAATTACTTGTCCCTAAGGTACGATATTTGGTATTTCTTACCATTATTTCTTGTTTTGAATGACACTAGTCAACCATGTATATTTGCATGATTTATAGATTGCTATAGCCTTTTGGGGTTATACTTTCAAGACAACACCTTCCACTTAAATAATTCTCATTGAAGAAAAACAAAGATGGAAACCACATGAGTGGCTATGATTGGTTTGTAGAGTTATTACAATTTAAGTGGTTAGCATGTACGTGCGTGCACGTGCGCACACATGGTTGGGTCCTTCAAGAGCCGAATGATCTTATTGTCATAGCATCTTGGCATTATCTTATTAGCGTAAGATGAAATAGCTAGTCCTAATTTTCATTTTAGTAACCGTGGATGTTCATGATAACTTGCTCTCATTTCAACTGGTCCTATGGGGCCTGAAGTTAACAGCCAGACAAGCCTTTCAGTGGCCCTCACCTGACTTGACTTTAGTTGCTGAATTCTAGAGGGCAAACACAAAGTTTTACCGGTTGGGTTATCCCTAACAATTACAATAACTAGTCCTATGGTTGGATGCAGATATAGAAACAAAATCGAACAAATTTAACTGAACATAATAAAAAAGAATACTATACCCTCCCGATGGGGGAGTCGGGTGGGATTTTAGCATGTACAATAGTTCGATTTTCGACTTTCTCATACCTTGTCATTATAGGTTTAGAGAAGTCATTTGCATCTTGAAGATGATTCACTTGAAAAATATGAGTTAAATTCTGGCAACTTACAACTGCCACACAAATGGAGAATGCCTGCAATAGTGATATTGACGCATTGTATTCAAGTGAATAAAGGCCATTCTCAAGTGGAGCCAAGCTCAATGCATGTTTGTTGTTGTGCATTCCCTGCAAGCAGGTAAAAAGATGTATTAGTTTATGGACTCGTATTTATATATAAGTAATAAAATTGATAATTATAAAAAACTTTGACTTTTTTTAAAAGCCAAGTGAATCAATTGACCTCCCACCCTTGCATCATTGCATGTACATCTGCTAATGCGTATTTCTATGTGAGATATACCGAGTTCGTTTGATTTCATCTTGAGTACAACAAAAAAGAAACACTATCATTCAATCATCTACGATGGTAGAGAGTAGGTGTTATTCATCATGATCACACATTCATGATGAATATGTTACAACATCCACGAAGAATATGTTGCAACATTCATGATGAATAACATGTCCATATTCATGATGAGAATGGCATAGTTGTGGGATATCCCCCGGTTCCTAACAAAACGTGCCCCCTAGTGGATATTCATTAACTATTATTGCTCAAAATGGAAATGAAAACATGTACCTCATAACAAAGATCAAGCCGATCTAAGCTAGAGGGATATGGAATTTTAATTGATTCATTCTGGGTGGTAAGAACGCGTAATTCACAACCAATGTCCCAACCTCCACAATCACAAGCTCCACCAGATCTCCATCGGTTGATCAATGGCGAAGGTTTTCCACTGTTTGGCAAGCTATGAATGCCGCCAGGAAGAATGACCACCGTGCTTTTTGAGCTCCCTATACCTCCATAGTTTTCGCTACTTGTATTCTTAACAATAATAGTAGCAAGCTCTGCATTTAGCATGCAATCAGGTGTTATCTGATCTGATTGTGCAGGATCAGGACCATACAAGACTGATTCCCTCACTACAAATAAGTCCCTTTCTAGTCCACTGAATTCAGCATGATACGAACTAGAGATCTTCATCTTTCCAACAATATTGTAGTCAAATTCACACCTTTTTTCTGTTGAAGATTGGTTTTTCCACCCTCCATTCTTCTTGATTTGATGTACTGAATGGAATGTGTAAGTCAAGCTTGAATCATCCTTTCCAGATGGTAATTTATTCACAGCTGCAGCTAGAATGTTACTGCTGCTATCTACCACAAGCTTGAAGAAAGGGATTCCATTCTTCATTGTAAGCTGTAGAAGAGCGTGTACATTAGATGATTTCTGCTGCTTGTCGTAGATTGGTGTTTTCTCATTTGAAATTAGATTTCTGTTTGAATGCTGAACCTTCTTAGCAGAATGAGGTCCTTTGCGCTTCAGTAGCGGGTCTAGTAATCGCATAGAGATAGACCTGACTATATTGGAAGCATTACCTTTCTTTGATTTATAATCGTGCAAATCAGGTGAGGATCCAAAGGATTTATATGTTGAGTTTAACTGTGGAAAAGCTGAGCTTGTCCTGAAGCTAAAACTTGTGGCCATTTTCTCAAGGCTAAAGTTAAACCTCCTACTGAAAGATGAATGTCTCCCTGTTACAGAAGGTTGCTCACCTGAATTCTGATCAACATTCTTGCAATCTTTATCAGTGATTAAACGCTCTACAGCGGACTTGTTCTCTATAAGAGATCTATTTTTCAATGGAGCATCCTTTATCTCAACCGGGCACTTTGGATAAGGTTTGGTTCCAAGAGGAAAAGGGAAAGATTGTAGAACTTCAAAAGAAGGGTTTAATTCTGTCAAAACGTGATCAAGTGGTTCTCTGGATTCTGAAAGCCATTGTTCATGAGAGCTACTTGCATTAGAATCTCCAAGAGAAAACATTACATCTTGGTGCCCACTGAGGTGCAGATCATCATCATGATCAATATTCTCTTCCGATGGCATTTTAATTGTACTAGGATGAGACCTCATTGTATCATTCGGAGAAGATTCTCTTGAGGATGTTATCAATTGTTCTGCTTGTTGCCCATTACTGTCAGATGAGAGATCCTTCCAACAAGAAGTTTGCAACCCATGAACAGTTTCTGAACTTTGAACTTGTATTGCCTTTCCTTTAGGTCTCTCACATGTAGCAGGTCTTTCTCTGCAAGATGAATGGAGTTGGGAACCATTTAATGCTTGTTGATCCAACTGAGGAATGCTGTTGTTTACAGATGTGGATAGTCTAGCTGATCCACTTTCCAGTGCTAGATTATTGCCAGAAAGTGATGATTTCATAATACGTTTTGTGTTGGACTTCCAATTTTCTAGACGGCTCCAATCAAGAACTCCAAAATTAAAAGTCTTGCCTTGGGTATTTTTGCTTTTCCCCTCACACTGGAGATAGCCAGGCAAATTCCTACCATGTTTCACGATGTCTTCATTTTTATACACCATACTTTCTAGCCACTGTTTCTTGTTATCCATTAAGGAATGCTGTTGAAATATAGGCTCCTCGCCTACACTTTGTCTTCGCTCATGATGTTGGCTAACATATAAAGGGTTTCCATTTTTAGTACATTCTGTAGGTTCTCTAACCCTATCTTCTTGCCAAGATAAAGCTTTTCCCTTCAACCCTTTTGAGGTTTTCTGTTTCCTGGAACTTGTGCTGAGATCTGCGCTATATGGCATATCTCCTCATTCATTCACACTGGCTGGGAGAACATGGGGAAAGATCTCAGTCGTCTCAAATAAAACAAAATTGAAGAACTTTCATGTGTTCTCATTTTATCAAAAGCATATGGGTTAAATATAGCAACAAATAAGTGAACAAAGAAAACAGCTGTCTTGTGCCAAAGCACGAGGGTGAACACATATTGTATAAAGTCTAGGGGTAGAAGGATGCATGCACACCATACCTCAACCTCAAGAGTTACAGAGACTGTTTTCGTAACAACCAGCTTGTGAAAAAGACTAGGAAAGGTTAGCTAGAGACTTCAGTGTAGCAGAACACTTCATTATTATTATTATCATTTATTTGAAGGTAGTTTAAGGAAACGTTGCAAGGAACTAAAAAGACAGTAAAGAAAAACAGACAAAACGAGAAAACGGGTTGAACAGGAACAGACAAATGGTGGAGAGAGCTAAGTTAGCAAGTCATAGCTAAATAGCACTGGGAACACTCCAAATGATCCCTTCACTATCTTTCCTAGGTCAGACAAACCTATTTGATTTACTCTCGCACCCTCCCACATTCTGTATCAACTTAACTGGATTCATGTTCGATTTTCTAGCGCCTATAAACCACCAAAAGATTGTGACATTTTGGTCCCCATTTGTTTCGAAGCACCATGGGAACTCAATCAACTCATGGACGTTTAAGTAAACATAATCCATTGAAATCAAGAATTTAGAACCAAACATTTATCATGAACGCCATAGTTCCCAAATCCATCTCAAATTTGGTATTCCAATGCTATAATGTTCCTACCTGCAACTACTAACGTATTACATAATTTACCTCAAGAACATATATAAACCTCGAAATATTTGAATAATTAGTACATCTCTATCCAAGAGCTGATTCAATTACAGTTCGCTAGCAAATTAAAAGGCCATAGCCTGTAAAAACCATGCATTTGATTCAAGTGGTATTTAATAGAGTTGCTGAATAAAATAGTTGTGGGTTACAAGAGTGTTTGCTTATCCAAACAATTCACATACAAGCATGATTAAACCATAATGTAGTATACTTTCGCAGAACATAACAAACTATAGTAATTGTTCGTCCAGATATCTTGTCTTTGGTTGACTTCTACAAAAAGTATGCAGGCATCAGCAAATTTTACATTTCATAATTCCTATGGCCCAATTACTTTATACGAAAAAGTAAAATCTCCAAAAAGAGCAATGAAAATGCAAACTAGCCATAGACACAAATCAAGAACAATCACAATTAGCGACTGATATAATAAAAAAATTGTCATCACAACTTCGAGATTAAACGCAAAAGTCAAATGCAAAACTAGCATTTTCGAATACGAAACCCAAAGATCGAAAGCCTAGATAGAAAAATTTAGAGAAAGTAACACTTACGTTAGTACCGATCATGAAACAAGTCCAATAAAACATAGAAACGAAGAGAAGAGAAGGTGAGTACGTTACAGAAACAAGCAAAGAAATTAACAAAAAAGAAAGAAGACCTACGAAGCTATTTTGATTCGACGCGTCAAGAGAGAGAGTTTCTTTCTTCTATGTGCATTACATGAACTAAACACTACGAAAGGAATCGCAGAAAATGCAAAAAGAATTTGAAATACCGATCTTACTCTGGATTGATTATCGATTGCTTGCTTTTACGATAATGTGTTCATTCTCATGCCGGAAAAATCAAATCAGCTAGCCGTATATCCGCTCCGTCACCGCCTCACCGGTGATTCAACGGCAGAAGAAAACCCCACGAAGTCTACTCCACGTTGACTGTGTGTTGAAAGAAGATGATCAGAGAGTCGTTCGTTTTCCATCCAACGGTTAAACGATAAACGAATCGGATGACATATAGTCCAGAAGCTGGGACCCAGGCCTATAGACCGAGAGGAGGCTGCTGGGTTTACGTCATCGCAGGTCGGCTTTCATTAGGTGAACGTGGCCTATGGTATTCTGGTACGGTCTAGTTGGACTTCCTCCTTCCAAAAATAAAATAGGGATAATATATGCCCTAAGATCTGGTGTTTTAAATTGATTATAAAAATAACTTATTAATTTATTTTGATACGTCATCGATATTAAATATTTTTAAGTTTTTGGATAAATAATTTATACGATGTCAAACTGATAACAAACATTTTTAAAGAAAATTAAACCGTTTTGATTTATAATAAATTGATAAATGTTTTTTGTAAAAAAAACATAAGTTGTTTCAAATAAGCAATCACAAACACCCCAAACCACCCACACGATATACATTAGGTTTTAATTTTTTTTAAACACAAACAATTTATTAGAATCCAAAGCAACGTTTATAAATAAAAAAAAGATTGTAAATTAATACGAAACAATGCTAAACTGAACTAACCAAAACAGAAAAAACATAAATAATAGCAGTAACCAAAACCACCCAAGACCAAAAACAAAGATAGCAACAATAGAAAAGGCTTACAACACAGTGGGGGATGTCAAAAATGGCAAGTTGAGTCAAAGGCCTTACAATCTACAACTTTTCCTGATTATTCGTAAAAGCTGATCGTAAGTCATAATTTCATTAGTTTGCATACCTACAAATAAGAGATTTTGTGATGTGGATTTATTCTGAAAAACCACTAGATTTGTATTTGTTTATAATAAAATAAATTAACTTTTAAATAGGTATTAAATTTAACCAAAATTCTGCTGAAAAAGAATAAAATGGCTTATTTAGTGTAATTTTCGATAAAGAAAATCTATATATAGTATAGATATATATAAGGAAGAATCAAAAAGTTGTTTAATGAGAAGATTTATATTCTATTTATCTTTTTTTCTCATTATTTTCATTTTTTTAATATATAATCAACACATTAATTATTAACCTTTTTCTTTTCTTAGTTCTTTTTAACTTCATTTTCATTATTCTATAAAGGAAATTTGAATCCGCAAATATATAAAATTATATATAATTTTATTTATATCAATATATGCATATTTTTTAATACATGACAATTGAAAAAATAAATCATCAAAATCAATCAATATATATATATATATATATATGCGAAAATCTATCAAAACCTCTAAATTAATCAATATATTAATATAAAATTAAAAATATATTAAAGTAATAATCAAGATTTAGTTAAATATTCGAATCATTAATCAAAATACTCATGCTATCGTGTCCCACCTTAGTACAAAGATATTTTTATAAAATGTCAAAACTTAATTTAGTTGAATTAAAATCATTTCAGAAGACGACACCTATACCATCCCCTCCCTCTATGACATGTATTTTCCTTGGACTTTTAGCATGGCCGACCGTTATTTAAAGAAAGCTTGAAGATGACTTGACCCATGATTATTGGTGTTGATGACTTGAAGATTACCTTTTTTTTTATGGATCATTTAAGGTTCCTTAAGTTTTTGAAGAAATGAACAAAGAAAGAGAAAGTGTATTATAATGAGATCAAGACTTTTTTTTATTTACTTTTATTTTGTTTAAGTCTTTTACATGAGTTGACCATTGTTGATGCTTTTACCGTCGTCTTTAGTAACCACTCTCCCTTTTATTTTGTTGACATCAACCTCATCAGGGGCGGAACACAAACTTTCCAACTGTAGGGGCCGGACCTAGTATATTATATATTTCAAAAGTACCAAAAATACATTATCCAAAGTTATAATGTAGTAAAACTCTAAAACTAAACGTTAAATATAAACATGTCAAACATCGCAAATTAAAGTGGAACCCGTCGATCTTTCGTGACCTTGAAGTCTTCCATAATTTCCTCCAAACTAATCTTTTCAGCTACTTCCCTTTCAATGAACAAAAGTAACGAGTCATTTAGAAACTCATCATCCATTTTATTCCATATTCTTGTTTTCACAATATTCATTGCTGAAAACGATCTCTCGGTTGTCGCGGTAGAAACTGGAAGAGTAAGTAATAGACTTATTAATCGATAAATAAGATCAAAAGTAGTTTCTCTTCTAGTCATTACCAACCATTGACCCAATTCTGCAATAGATGTCAATTGCTTATAATCTACATGTTGAACGACATCAATAGCATAATGTTGAAGCTGCATTTTCAGAATTGTTTTCTCATGATCACTGAAATCTTTAGGATAAAACTTCTCTACTAATTGTCTTACATCAAGACTTCTAAAAGTCTCATACGCATTTTTAGAATCTAGAGTTAAAGCAAGACGAAGCATCTCCA